CCACAGGACGCCGGCCGGGCCTGGTCTAGATGGGCTATTTGATAGGAGAATTTTGAAATTCCTGGCCACTGTCGTTATTAATCACTGGGTAGGAATTGACAAAGGAAGTAATATGGGCTCACTGCGCGTGCATGTGTGCACACACACACAGAGTTTGTATTCTTTTATACTTATTTGGTATTTTCGAAGAAGCATGGATTTGGAGCAGTCAGGATAACTAACTTGATGTCTTAGTCTCTCAGTGCCCTGAACCCATCCAGAGCTGGAGTTGGGTTCAGGACATGTTTAAGAGGAACATGTTTAGGCTTGGCACACACTGGCCTTTGCATAGTAGGGGATCCGTATGGGTCACATGTCCCACTGAGTTACACACAGTGGGGGTGAGGGGAGAGCAAGGAGAAAGAGACTTCATGCCCATGCTACAGTCTGTCTTTTTTTTAAAGATAAAACCCCGACTAATTGCTCTCTTACCCAGGCAACCATGTGGCTTTTCCTATGCAGCAGCGATCTTTTCTCCAATGACCGGTCTTGTTACTAATCTCTTCCTAATTTGCTTTCATTAAAGCTTCTTGGACACTCAGATAACACTTATCGTGGAGACGGGGAGGACTCTTTTCCAGTTACAATAAATCTATCATTGTTTTCCTTTATCATATCTGTTGTATGCCATTATAATTATTAAGTTTAGCTTTTACAAATAGACTACCGTTTGCTTTGGGGCCCACAGAGAGCCATCTGTGCTGATTTAATGCGGTTCTGGCTGAAGGCAGCACCTGGGGTGAAATAACTTCTCAAGGTCTTCCCAGTGCTCCTGTGGAGGGAAGGAAAGGCTTCTAAAAATATGAAATTTTGTCTGTAACAAGCACAGACTCCAGCGCCCTTGAGAGTGCCATAAAGATTTGCAGGTTGCTACTGCCCTCTTGTGGTACGTAGGCAGAGCTGCAAGCAAAAACTAAACACTCAACAGCCATTCCCATCTCTGTTGTTTAGGCTTGGGGGTCATAGTGAGAAGGGGTGTTGGCATATAAACTCTACACAAGCTTCACAGTTACAAATCAGTGCAAGACAGTACCCAGTAAGTCCAGTTACTTTCCACGTGACCCAAATGTCCATATTCAAATTAAAATTCTCAGACCAAATGCAGGGAGCTGAGCTCCAGCATAGAGTTCCTGCTTAGCACGCCTGAGGTTCTGAGCCTGTCTTTGTGCAGGCTTACGTGAGAGAGGAGGGTGCACATGACTGTGTGTGCCTGTGAAAATGATGTGGGAGGAACATGGGTGTCCTCTTCCACTCTCTGCTTTATTGTTTGAGACAGAGTATCACTGCGTAGTGAGCTCTGGGGATCCTCACATCTCCATCCTTCCGTTCTGTGATCTCACACACACACACACACACACACACACACACACGAATGCACACAGAGCCATGCCCAGGATTTTTATGAGTGCCTGAGACTTGAACCCAGGACCTCATGTCTGCAGACTAAACGCTCTGACCCATTGAGCATCTCTCTCTGGTTTCTTGAACTTCATCAATACAAAACATCAAGAAAGGTGCTAAAAAGGGAATAAGATGAAAGACATTCTCTGGGCAAGGCTGTGTGGTTCGGTAGCAGAACCCTCACTGGTCTATGCAGGTCCTTTGCACTGTATTGCATTTCTCAGACTTCCTGGGACTTTGTGTAAGCAGGAGATACAGTCGCAGCCAGTCTCCGGCTCAGCATCCTTCTCCACACAGCTCTGTTAGGTGGCGTGCATGCAGGGGCTGCTCACTGACCACGTGGGCATCTCCCATCATTGGCCAAACTCCATCCTCACTCTTAAAAAGCGTCTCCTACCACACTCACTGGGTCAGTACCAATTGCACAGCCAGGAGCAAACCCAGGAAGTAGACTATAAACTCCGGGAGCTGTGGTGAATCCATTCTTTCAGAATTCCGATCTTCCACACTCTAGAGCACAGTCTAGAAGCTGGTGGATGTGGGTTGACTCCAGCTCTTCAGACGATGAGGACGTCTAAGCCAGTTTGTCGAGTCTGTCTTGGGCCGAGCAACAGAGGTTTCACTTCGTAACGCTCTAATGTCCTAGGTTTTTGCAGCAAAGGATTAAAGAAAGAGTCTATGGTCCCAAATTGAGGGCTAAAAGTGACCAGTGGATTGGGCATACATTATCCACCTGCGTGGTCCTTGTCACCTTCCCCACCCGAGTGTTGGTGTTGCCAGCAGTGACCGCTGGTTTCGAGCAGTGGACCGCGCATTGTTCTCCGAGGGAGGTGGCTAAAGCTTGCCACCCCTGTGCCTGGCATCCCAGCGTGGCCAGCCTTTCACTCTGAGAGTGGCTGCACTGAGACACAGTGGATTTCATCCTTCACGTTTTGGATGCTGTGGTTGCATTTTCTAAGTTCTTCCTACACGTCTGAAAAGCTAAGGTGGCAGCAAGCATTCACAAATGTCTTTTATTTGTACGTTTGACTAGACACATCATTAATTATTACTGTCGATGTTAATTGGCAGATGAGGTTAAGATAAAAGTATTTGTGTGTTAGAAATCATGTCAATAGATGATAAAACAGCAGGTATTGCAGAGTTAATAAATGATTTCTAGAATATATTGGCTAGAAAAGCTTTGTGCCCCATTGGCTCTAAAATGTTAGCAGTTTTGACCCAAGACTCCTGGCACAACCAGCAGCCACCCCATCTCTAGTGTTGGCTAGGCTTAGGGTCACAGTGCAAAGGGATGCTGGCACATAAATTCTGCACACTCTCCACAGCTACAAAGCAGTGTAGCCCAGTGAGAGGGTTGCAGCCCAGGGGGCAATTGAGGTGATACCAGCTCCTGCACAAGCTTTCCTTCGGAGCACAGTAAATCGGCCCACAGGTACCTGTGTGCAGAGGAAACAAACCCATCTGAACGATTAAAGGTAAATGTGCAATGGGCTTGGTACGCCAGCTCTGCACAGAGGCGCGCGGCCTCAAAGATTGGTGAGTTTATAAAGCAAATGACTTCGAAAAAAAAAAAGCTCATTTATTTTTTGATGATGCGTACACTCAAGAAATCAGTTTTTAATGTTCGCAGGCAGCAGATGCTAAATTGCAGCAACTAACTAGCGAGTGCGTCTCAGAAAGTAGTAAAATCCGACTTCTTTATTAAGTTTACTGTTAAATGAGCGAAGGAAGACAAGCGTCTCCTCCATTAGCAAAGCAAATACAACATCTGTCCACGGGAATAGGCAGGACTGCGTTCGGTATGGGTTCCTCGTTCTGGAAGCAATGACTGACGGGCAGGTACAGAGCGTTTTCTCCCTGGTCAAAAACTTCAGTCAGATCTGGAATATAATCTCGAAATCCCAACCCCTTTCTTTTCCGTCTTCCTTTCCCCTGCCTTCCCTCTCCCCCTTCTTTCCTCCTTTGTGTTTTGAGGACACTGGTGAAGGGTGAGCCCTCATCCGTGGAGACAGGGCTAGGCCCCGAAGGTCAGAACAGTGTGCACAAGACCCTCTTAGGCTGCTGTCCCCGTCACCAAGGCAGGAGACAGGAAGACGCTGTTCCTCAGAAGGTTGTGCGCATGCACAGCTGGAGTTAGTGTTGGTTCTTTTCTTTCTTCTCCCCCCCTTTTTTCTTCCCAGAGGGGCTTTACTTCAACACTTATTTGGAAACAGTGAAAGGTAGTTTCCAAATGAGCCAGAGAAGACTCGGTTTTGGACTTGCTGCCTTGACTTCGCACCTTAACAGCTGAGAAGGCCGTGTCCCTCTTGAAGGACAACTCAGAGCTAGCTCAGAGTCAAGGCAGACCGGAGCCCTAAGCACCTTCCTGCTGCCTAGCTTTGTGGCTTTAATGATTTTGTTGTCTGGATGTTAAAATCGTCTGTGTCTTTAGTACTCAGATAATCAGAACTCACTCCAACCATGTGTGGACACAACCTTGTGAGGAACCAGTGTCTTCCTGTCTCCTGCACTGGTGACAGGGGCAACACCCCTGAGAAATGCACCTGAGCTCCCCACTTCACAACACACTTTGCCCCAGACTCTAGCCCTTCTTTTCTATCCATCCTGAGGCTTGATATCTTCATTTCGTAATGAGTAAGAAACCAAGGATCAGTTTCTCTATGGGACTGATTGAAAACCAACTACACTGTTTCAAAAATGAGAACCACAGAATGCAAAGCTAGGCCTTATCTTGAAGGCCCCACTCTTTAGGAACAGCAAGGGCTGGGGGCATGAAGGTAACTAGTCTCCCTCTTAGATACTTCCTGGACCCATACCGCACATAGTTCATCCCAGAGAAACATTTGAGATAAATAAGAACATCTGTGCCCCTATGTGGAGCTGCAAAAGCGACTTCAGCAGGAGATAAGGATGTCAGGTGGAAAGGAAGGATGTTTTGAGTCTTTATAAGCTCAGGCTGAGGCTCTGGATAGAACAAGAGACGAGGGCGCTGCTAAGCCCTACACCAGGAAGAGGAGCAGCAAGAACAGTGACAGAGGAGCATGACCCTGGGTCTCTGAGAAGCCCTTATCATGGTCAGGTGTACCTCCCAATCTTTGCCGATGGAGCCCAGGGGATATGAGACAGGAAGAGCCCCAAAGCCTTGGGGTAGGACCTGACTTGAGCCCTCTTTTGGAGCTAGCATTCTCTCTCTCCCCCAGGTACTGAAAAGTAGAAATCCTAAGCCAATCTCCTGTGTCCTTATGGTGGCAGGGACTATGGAAAAGCAGGACCATGGGGCCTGAAAGGGATTTTAGATATGAGGAATGGGGATGCTAGGTCCACCTGATCTGGATCATTGCAGGGGCCAAGCATTTAGAAGAGGCTGGGCAATGATCAAATGGTCCTCACTGATGCTCCCCTCCTAGATGGGACAATGGAATGAAAGTCTGGTGCAGGTGTGTGTGTCCACATATGCATTTGAAACGTGGGGGAAACTCTAGTTAATGAAACTGGCTTTAAACTGGTGAAATCTGAGTTTTCTGAGGTCAGGTAGAGTAAGACCTAGAACTAGAAACTTCAAAAATAACAGTTACATTTATTTATATCCGAAACATGTGGACTTTCTATTTATTCCTATTTGGCTCACTTAGTTTCAAAGGGTCAATTAAAACATTTTTCAAATACAAATTCCAGTGTCACTAGGAAAAAGAAAAACATTACCCTAAAAATAGAGCAGGGAATTAAAATAGAATTTGCGATGACTCCACCATGTGGGGAAGACGCATCAGTTCCAGTTCAGTTGCAGAGAGTCCCCAAGCTGGTGACATTTAGGTTTGCATGCCCAGCACCCTCATCCACATGTCCCCACTGGAGCGTCTAACCCTCAATGTTGAATTCAGCGTGGGCAGGGAGGAGAAGGCTGTCCCTGTTCACAGACGGTCCCCCAACCAAGTCTCTGTAGAGCAGCGCAGTAGGGACTCAGAGAATTAAGAGACTCTATAGCCAGCTGTGGTGGACCATGCTTACAATCCCAATGCAGGGAAGGGAGGCTGAGATTGGAGGACTGCCTTGAGTCGAAGGCAACCTGAGCTAAGACATGGTAAGAACCTGTTTTAAAATAAAAACCAAAATAAACAAAGAGGAAGAGGGGAAAGGGGAGGCAACCGTCATTATCGTCATTGTCATCAGCAGCGACGTGGCTCACTGGTTCATTCCTAGACATCCCAGATACTCAAACACAAGTCTAGCAAGAGCTAAAAAAGCTCAAAACCAGACCAAGAAACTCATAAGACTTTTTTTCAAAATCAAAAACACAGAGAACTGGGGCTGGAACTCGGTGGTGGAGCAATTGCCTGGTATGTACAAAACCTCAGGTGTAATCTCCAGCAGGGGAAAAGAAAAGAAGAGCGCTCGTGGCAGTTAGTACATATACATAACCTCAGAAGGTTGAGGTGGGGGATCACAGGTTCTAGCTGGAAGCTGGTCTGGCCTATATAGTTTCATCCTGTGTCAAAGACAAAGGGAGAGAAGAAGGGGAGGAGGGATGGGGACAGAGTGGAGAGGAGGGAAAGGGGGTAAACATGGGAAGACAAGAAAAGGAGAAAGTGGGGGATGAGAGAGGGAGGGGACAGAGAGGGAAGGGGGAAAGAGATTGAGAGGAGGAAAAGATGAGGTGAGAAGCCCAAAGGCAATTTGATTCTTTTTAAATTGAGGTTGGGTATCTCTGATTTGCCCACTGAATGGAGACATGGCTTCAGCTCTTGGCTGTGAGGCAGCGGGATCAAGCAGGGCAGAAAGGTTTCTAGCAAGCAAAGTGGCTGAGGGTGGGGTGGAAGTGGGAGTCACAGTTTATGAACAAAGAACATGGGGTTCTTTGGAGCAAAAGGATGCTTGGGTTCAGGTAGAGCTCTGGTCCTGCCTTGGACTCCCACAGGGCATAAGCACAAGGATGCGGGTGTGAACTGCTAAGCACAGGGATGCGGGTGTGAACTGCTAAGCACAAGGATGCAAGGTGTGAACTGCTAAGCATAAGGATGCGGGGTGTGAACTGCTAAGTACAAGGGTGTGGGGTGTGAACTGCTAAGTACAAGGGTGTGGGGTGTGAACTGCTAAGCATAAGGACGTGGGGTGTGAACTACTAAGCATAAGGATGCGGGTGTGAACTGCTAAGTACAAGGATGTGGGGTGTGAACTGCTAAGTACAAGAATGTGGGATGTGAACTGCTAAGCATAAGGATGCAGGGTGTGAACTGC